TAAAATTGTATTATTGTGCACAATATACATGTATAATTATTTCGAATGAAAGAAGCCATTTTCTGCCAGATCGAGTTTGCGCATAGTTTGCGTGCAGCGGTCCCGCCCCCTGAAGATGCTTTTGCTCGACCGGCACGAACACTCAGTGCGGCTGACCCGGGGGTGCGACTGACTCTGTCGCACACCCGAGGAGGATTCGTACTATCACCTTGCCCCCTCTCTCTCAGCCCTCAAGGCAAGCGGGTCAAGTCCATTGAAGTCCTGGCTGGCGTCGCACAAACCCTTGCCGATGGCCCCGGTTGGTGTCGGCGATCGCGGGCTCGCAGCCCAGCCAAGACCTCCACAATGAGAAGAAGAGGGGCTTTCTGGGCTGCTCCATCATGACACAATAAATGTCATTTTATAAAAAGCAATAGCTGCTCCGCGAGAACCACCTGCCTCGGCCGGCTCCTTCAAGCCTGCCTGAATCAGTCTGGCAGACAGGCCAACGGAACTTTGTCGTCTGGAAGTCAAGTCTACTCGGGCGCGGCTGTGCACGCCGGCCAGGCCGGGGTACTCGGTGTACCGTAGAGCGCGCGCCAGGGGACAGGCAGGGGGAGGGGAGGGGAATAGGCACTTTGCTGCCTGTATTGCCTCACATTTAATAACGCTTACGATGGAAGTCGAACCGATTCCATCGTAAAAGAAGAACACCGGGACTTTTGTAGATATAAAAGGGAGGTTTTTAAGGTTTTGATCTGGCTCTATGGTGCAGGCAAGAGGTCCTCCTCGACCATCAGGGGCTCTCGCCACTATCGAGGACCCTGCCACCGACCGGGACCACGTCAAGCAAGAGGTCAAGTTTGAGAGTCATCAACCACCACCGCCTTCAAGATACATACGATGCCAGGTTAACGGGCTCGCGCGGCAACCGCCCACTAAAGGTCAACCCGTCAACCGCAGCCGCAGAGCGGCCGCGAGGAAATTATGTTGACGTGACGTTTTGGACCGACTTTATCTTCGACGTGCCAAAACGAGAACAAGGGACGAGGACAGTAAGTAACACAGCAACACCAAAAGTGGTGCGTGCGAGCGAGAAAGAGAGACACAGAGGGACTGAGAGAGATTGAGAGACAGAAGAGCATAAGACTTGCGCCATCTCCATGAACTGGATTCTCCCTCTTCCCCCCTTCCCCCACGACAGTCCCAGGTTGGTTGACCTGCACGTCTCTGCTCCGATGACAGTAGCAGTCTTCACTTGCTGGTTCACCTTTTTGCACCGAGCGGAAAGTTTATTTGCCAATAGGTGGCGCTGCAGCCGGTGGCGGCGATCATGAGAAATCCCAACTCCTCCTCGGCAGCTCAGCTCGGCTGGAGTGCCGGAGTGGCCGCAAATGGACGGCTAGTGGCGATCTTTAACTTTGACGGCGCCCTGAAGGCGCCAGGCGGACGGCACGGCCAGCCCCCAGCCCTGCTTTACTGCGAGCCCGTTAAAGTGAGAACTTCATGTCGCAAACAGGAGGACGTCAGACAAACATGTGCGCACGTCCCCTGGCAGGGTGCAACAAACGATAGGTTTCCATCTTTGGTTTCGGCATGCCGACATGCATGAGTACTACCACCACCCTAAAGAGACTTCTTCCGTGTTAAACTCCGAGCCGGGATTCGAAGTGGTTGAAAAGATAATAATCCTAACTCACGCCGCACGAACTCTCGTGCACGGGGCGCCCGTACGTAATATGACATTTTGACATTTGACAACAAAAATGTAAAGTCGTGTAAAGTACATTTAGGGTGCAAGCAGTCGGTTGCCTGCTCTAGGATAGCCAGGCCTTGACTCTTTGAGTCGCTTCGTGCCGCTAGTCTTGTAATGGTCCGCTTATTAGCCGTGCACTTGACTCCCCCCGAGGGGCCCCCTCCCCCAAGTCTACCTCGTGCTGCAATTAATACATTCCTCCGCACTCCGGGCCCTCCGGCAGGATTACAGGACGCAATAATATATAATTCGCTGGCGACGAGGCTGGCGACTGCTCGCTCAAATCTTTCGCAGACTCATCATCGGGGAAGGTGTTGAGGAGGGGGAGGGGGGGGGAAGAGTATAAAGTTCGCCAAAACGAGCGTTTTTTTGAGGGGAAAATCCTCATAGTCTCTCGGAGCAGAGCGTTTATTGTTTTTCAAAAGGCGTCCAAAATTTCTAATAAGTTTTGGTTTATGGGTGAGAGTAGAGGTAAAATCACATACAGTATTGCTGTTTCGACGTGCACAGGTATGTATATTACTGGTAAGATGTACCGCTCTGCGCAAACTGACTCCGTATACAAGGAATACCATGTGTGTGTATGTCTGAGGAGAGAGGGGGGCGGGGGGAGGCGCTGAAGTGAGAGGACCTCAATGAACGGGACTGACGGAAGAATGGGAGAGGTATGAGACAGGTTGATGAACGAGAACGCGGGAGAGTGAGTGAGGCAGGAGTGAAAGAGGACGCGCGGCCGAGAGGGAGGAAGAGAGAGAGAGAGAAAGGTAGGTGCGCACCCTCCGCCGAGCAGCACAGGGTCAGGGCCGCGCCGCTCTGTATCCCCAAACATAACGGCTACCGTCTCGTCGGGAACCACCGCGGGGCCCGCGCCGGCGCCCGCGCCTCCGAGTCACCAAGGTGTTGAGGGACGCGGACACGGCGCGCGCAGAACAGCTGTACGAGGAGCAGTGCGTGCGACTGGTAGCGTGCGCACAAACGGGTGTTATAACAACTGTTATATTTTTTAATACTCTGTTAAGACACTTACAAGCTGTTCGGAAGTGCCCTTCTCGTGCACACGCGACCAGGATGCACAAATCCTTCCGCTCCAACGCCTGATGCGGAACTGTAATCTCCTCATACCCGCGCTTTACAATGCTCTGTTCCGGGGAACCACCTCGCAGATTGTTTGAAAATGTCAGGTCAGGCGCAGGCTGCGAGGGGCTTAAGCGCACGGGTGCGAAGCGAGAGAGTGGTTGAGGACGAGCCTCATTCCGTCGTGGAATGCTCGGCCGACGGCCGGGCAGACAGACAGGCGAGTTTTAATCGCACTAATGCGAAAATGACCTGTCATTCCCCTTTCTGAAGAGGAGTAAAAAGTTGAAAAGAAAGAACATCAATTGTCAAGGTGCACGACGAGTGGTCTGGCCTGCCCTCCCCAGTAACTACGCCCCCCCCCCCTCTCCCTGGCTCTCCTCTCTGCCCTTTTCTCCTAACTCGGAAGACTATATAGTCTATTCTCCACAAGAAAAGATAACTGGCAGCAGTTTTCAATTTTCCCCGAAATTATTCGAAATGAAAAGAAAACCTTCGCCCAGAGACACATCAAAATATATCTGCTGGCATACCATAGTGCTACCCATTCTCTCCTATATTCTGCCGTTATGCCGTACTTTAGGGGCAAAGCGCTCACCGATGGACCCACGGACGGTGGAGGGAAGGTCTAACACCGCCGTGCCGCGCTCCACCGGACACGCCCGGCGCACGGACGAGAGGCTGAACGTCACCTTCATCGGATGACTCTAACTCTGCATTTACACGCCATTCGCCGCTGGCAGTCTCTGCTTGGGTGCCCTTCGGTGCCCTCGCCTGCCTGGCTGAATGCCCATCCAGGACCTCTTCACTTGGGCCCTCCCCGCCCCCCTCCTGCCCTGACTCCCGCTGGATTAAGAGGGACAATTTACTCGCTGCATTGTTGTGAGGGACGCTCGGCGCCATGACACCCTTTTGTCGTGGTCCGGGAGCTCCGGGAGCTCCGGGAGTCAGTCGGGTGGGTCTGGAAGTGCGCACTGGCACCGGCCGGTGACCGGCCAGGGCTGCGGGCCGAAGGGCAAGGGCCGCGGCGCTCCGAGCCCGGGCCAAGCAAATGATCCAGCAGTTTTCCTCCTCGACCACAAACACAAAGTTGCGCCGAGTTGCCGTTGCAGTCCTGCGGGGACCCCGCCACCCGGGTATATTGAGATGGCAAACACGAATTGGTAGCGCGGCGCCGACGACGCCGGGATCGCGGCCATTCGCAGATGGGTTTCCTTACCTGCCGACGGGGAGCCCATCTTCACCGTGGTCGAGGCCCCGAGGGGTCCCCTGCCCCTGAGCGCGCCGTCCGCGTCACTCGCTGCACATTCACACTGCCCCTCCGCGGGCCGACGACGAGCTGGCGCCTGGCACCAGCAGCACGACAACGAGAGCTAGTTGCCGGTAGCAGTCGGGGTGGTCCGGTATAGCAGCAGCAGGGGCGTCGTCGGCGTCGTCCCAACGCGAATCGTCTGTGGCGGTGGAGGTGGCCGTCGATCGTTCGCGACGCGCTGTTCGGCTCGGTTGGGCTGCGCGAGGAGCTGAGCGCGGTCCGTTGCACCTGCTGCCCCGAGTGTGTTGTGTGTTTCGGCCGGCGCTCGGCTCGCGTCTGACAGCGCAGTGAAGGGAAGGGCCTGGAGTGCGGCACTGCCGGGCCCGGCTCTGCTCGCCGCGGCCGCGCACGGTGCGCCGCCAGGGCGGTGGGCCGGGCCGCGGGGGCCCAACTCCCCCCTCCTCGCCCCCGGCCCGCGGGTGGCTCCGCTCATCTTGGTGAGGTCATAGACCGGTGCCCCGGCGGCCCGACGCGGCCCAGCAGGGCACGGCACACCAAGGCACCGGGACGGGCCTACCGCCGTCTAGCGCCGCGCCGGGCCACCGGCGCTCACCGTGTTGACGTTCTGCCGTGCGGGGGCCGGGGGGGACAGGTGCGGTGCGGCGGGAGCAAATTGGCCAGGGGCTTTAGGAGGCGCGGCGTGGCGTGGCGGGGCGCGCTGGCTCGGCGCGGGCCCCCAAAGGACCGCGCGCGGGACCTCGACGTGGAGCCGGCCCGGGGCCCCCGCGCCGCCCCGCCTCCTGCCTACCAAAGTGCATTCATTACCGACACCACAACCACCGCCGCCAGAGCTGGCGCTGCTCGGGCGCAGCCGCTCACTGGGACTTCGAAAAAGCTGGATTCCAGCGTCCGCAGCCCGACGGTTCTCAGTACCAATGGGATGTTGTTGTTTGTTTTTTTCGGACGCTCAATAAGGCTCCAACAACTGCCAGATCAAGGAGGGGACGTCCTCCAGTCCGGAGGGAGCCGTAGGGCGTTTGCAACGGTGGCGCCGACACCAGGTCGCTCATTAGCCCCGCCGGCCTTCATAGTTGGGCTGTACCGGCTTTGCCTATCGTCTCTGACCACGGCGCCTCGCCGCCTCGAGAATAGGCAGCCCGCACGCACGCGTGCCATACGGTACAGTCTAACCAGGTGAACGTGGGCGGTGACAATCAGCCACCAGGCGTAGTATACTTGGATATTTTTTGCCGAATCTTCTTACATTGTGGAGGGGGGGAGGGGAGTCGAAGAAGGCGATGCATCCACCCTGACAGGCATTCCATTCTGAACAGCTTCATTGCAAGCGCCGCCGGGTCGGGGCGTATCTAGCTCAGGCTGTGCTCGCTGCTCGCTTACTATCGCCGGGGGCATCACCACGACTCTCGCCGCCGGAGCTCACCCCTCAGCCCCCCGACCCCCGCAGCAACCGATGCCGGGCCAAATCTGATGATGCAACCACCGCTCATGGAGACGGATGGACCGGAAACAGGGATGTGTCCCCGCCGCGGCGCGCCGGTACGCGAGAGGGAATGGCCAGCGGGCAGCGCCGCGGCCTTGTTGGCGCCGTCAAGCTGTCCGGAGGGGAGGCCACGCTCAAGTCCACGGAGTAGTCCACGACGGAGATCATCGTCGGACGCTCTGCCGTGTCCTCTTCCCGGGCTCGCGTCCAGAGACAAGGCCTCGGGCAACGTATGGCATCGTTACAAACGCATAAAACTGTACGTAACGGTAGCACGGTGGCCCCCCGCCTCGCCCCTGCCCTCCTGCCGTGCCGGCCCGGCCGGCCCCCTCAGATTCCACCAGGGTCGCATCCGTCCTCGGATCGGCCGACACGGTTGACTTATCTGGTCCGCTTTATGCTCGCTGGCTTTGTTCGGACCTGACTCGGGAACTAATTTACGATCGTAAAAGACACGGAGCGGTATCGGTGCAGAGATTGTTGGATCGTCGTGAAAGCAAAGGTTGCAAGGGGATGGCGCCCGTCGGGCGACACTGACAACCCCGGCGGGGCGGCGAGTTTGACGACGTAGCCGCTTGTGCGCTCGTGTTGGTGGGCGGATCCCCCTACCCTGGGACCTGGGACTTCCCTACTGATGTCTTCCTCCAGGTGGCGTGCATCTACAGCAAGTTCTCAATACTGGACCGATGGTCACTTCGATTTCAGAGGCAGCATCCGTAGCCACGGGACTAGCCGCCGCGGCGCGCGGGCCGCAGGGCAGTACAGGTTTTTGCAATGCACGTTGCGCCGCGGCTGGCCTAGAGCCTGGTCGGGCCGGTGCGTGGCGGGGCCTGTGAAGTCCGGTCACTACCTGCCGGAGTCCCGCTCGGTACAGCACAGTACCGGCTGCCTGTTTTAACGGGAGGCTCTTACGCGCGTCGAGGAATCGTGGTGGTGGGGGGGGGGGGCATGTTAGCAGGAATCGCAATTGCAGACGACTGATGGCCCTTTACCTCCCACTCCTCCCTCTGATTATGTACCAGGTGGCTGATTCACGCCGCGCACTTCTGTAGGTATACTGTACCGTATGCACGAGTGCGGGCGGGCTTGCCTATCGCCCCTGTCCACGGCGCCTTAGGAGCCGAGCGAGTAGGCAACCCGCCCGCACTCGTGCATGCGGTACAGAATAACTACAGACGTGCGCGGCGTGAATCAGCCACCTGGTATATATCATGCCGGGTAGCACCCTCTTTATGGTGCAACGCAATTTTCCTCGTTCATCCTCCTCCTTCTACCCCTTGCTGCAAAAGAACTCACACCACGAAGAATGAATTGATTTGCTCGATTGGTGCGCGGATTGCCGGAATCGAAATCCTAGGGGAAATTCACAAGTTCACTCTGATCTCTCACTTTCTGCACACTGAAGCGCCCCGACTGCAGTATTTTTAGGCCAATAGATAACTATCAGCTGACTCCAAGGGGGTTCCATTCCATGCGTAAGCGATCGATTAAAACCTTTCAGACACACGGGAAGCTCATAGCAGTACTTTCTTTCGCACACTGCGGTATTACTGTCAATCACTATATGTAAATGAATGAAACCTGAAAATCCCGAGCCTTCCTTTAGTATGATGTATAATTCTTACTTCCATCCCTGATCTTAGTGGACTCATTTCCTTTAAATAGCTACGTCTCGCCATAAACAGCGCCTGAGAGATGTGAGGTAGGCAAACCCCTCGCTCGTTGATTTCCCCTGACTGGATTCGCAGTTGTAAGCTCACGCGCGTGCGGGTTTCCCTACAAGATGGTCTCTAACTACGGCAAACTTACGGCTCAAGTCTCAGGCAAGTACGCAATCAGCACGCACCAGTAAATACGTGGTGGAACGGTTGGTACAGTCTTGACCAGGGGTCTCGCAGACGACGCGCGGGCCGCGAGGGTGGGACCGCGAGGGTGGGACCTCTCGCTCGCACTCACGCATTCCGCACTAGCTCCGTCTCTCTCGCACCAGGCCAGAGTGGCCGGTGGGCCGCGTCTCTGAAACCTCTGGTCTTGACGGAAGTGCATAACTAACTACCATGACACTTAAATAGATAATCATATTTATTTAACATACTGTACATGTTGAAACTATAAACTAAAGATTTATACAGAAAAATATGACAACAGATTCTACACAATCACTTTTGAATAAATAATATTGCACTAAAAAAGTCATTTTATAAGGAAAAGGTTCTCAAGACTAAATTTCACCAGGGATGCTCACAACAATGGTTGAAGAAAGTTCGTCAAGCACTTGAGAGGCATCATCACACTCCTCTTCTTGAGTAGCAACCTCACATTCTTCTTCACCAATCTGACTATGGGTGTGCATAATGTGATTGTTAAGAGTACGTTTTGACTTAAAATACACAACACATTGTTCACATTGGAACGGAAGCAGGGGGTTGTTATGTTCTGCTTCATGGTCATCTCTTTCCCGCAGAGAGCGAAAAGCACGACCACATACACCACAAGCGAGCCAAGTAGATTGAGAAGTTCCAGAGCTGGCTGCGCTCTCTCTCTTTTTCCTTCCCTGGCTCTTTTCTCCGTGCTGTTTCCGGTGCCTTGAGAGAGCAGTGGTCCGCAATGTTTGGCCACAGATGTCACAAATAGAATAGTGGCATTTGTGGTGATACCTAACATGCTCATCATGCTTTTGACGTCGTGTAAATTTTCTACCACAATCTTCACAACTGTACGTTCTGTCAAAATGTTCATCCATATGATATGTCAAATAATAGCGCCGCTGGAAACCCTTCCCACACACTTCACACATGAAATTGGTATCATCAGGAAAATGCAGTCTTTTATGTTTTGTTAAGTACTGGTTTTGAGTGAATGACCTTCCACAAACATCACATTCAAAAGGTCTCCAATCTAAATGTTCTAAAATGTGAATTTCAGCCTTATAATTCCATCTAAATTTAGCAGAAAGGCAAATTTTGCACTTAAATTCAGTGTCAGACACTTTCTCAATGTAAGGAGCTACATCTTTTTTGTATGGCGCATTAATTTTATAGCCATTTGGTTTTGGTTGATACAGTCCATGTCGTTTTAAGGTTGATATAGATACTGGTTTTGCAAATTTCTCCATCATTATGGCATAGTTTGGATCATCTTTGGAAATGGGTGCTTGCTTCCGAACAGGTGTCCTTAATGGTCGCTCTGCCCTAGATTCCCTCTTATTTCGGGGTTTAGGAAGGCGCAATATTTTCATGCTATTTCTCACAGCCGTCCTCGCTCTTTTCAGCTTAGACCATGAAGATTTTCTTTTAGAGGTATTTTCAGAGCTAGGTGGAGCCCAGGTAGGATCATCCACATCTTCAGAGTTTTCTTGAATTTCAGTAGCAACCATGTTAAGAGGCACAGGAACATCCAAAAGAATCATATTCTCCTTACCATCACTTCCTTTGATCACCACCTGAAATTTTTCAATCATTAAGACATTCACTGCAACTTTCAATATACCTAGTACATCACGAAAACATCAATCTGACCAACCTTTTGACTCAATTTATTATCTGGGGGGTGTTTGCTATTCTGCGTCTTTCCTGTAGGAGTTTTTCTTAGAGGCGCTAGCAAACTTTTACCCCTAGAGGAATTTGATTCTTGATTTCCCAAAACAGCAGAGAGAACTGTTTGGACTGGCATATTACCAGCATTTTTAATCAGATATACAAGCTGTTAAAAGATATTTTAAAACAAAAATTAATGAAAGCACATGGATATACCAAACACAAATCTTTAAGTCATTTACCTTTTTTCTTGGACTTCCAGGCAGAATTTCAGAATGGTCCACTTGCACTGTTTCGTCAAAGTTGTCAGTAATAGTATCATTTTCCAGGTCCTCAACAATGATAGAAACAGGACTCGATAAAAGTCTCTCTTCTTCATTTCTGTTGTGAGAAATAAATTTTATTTTTTAATGGAAAAGACAAAAATAAGAACTTTGCAAAAACTGAGTTTTAAAAAAAAATTCAAATGCAACAGGATGAGCTTGCTCAAGATAGGGCATTGAGAGATGAAATTGTTTGATGCTTTTTAATGGATAAGAGATGTGAGGTGCAAACAGACAGATAACATCCAGATAAGATAATTAGCAAATTTTATTTTAATCC